AGAGTGAGTCAAGAGGGTGAGAGGAGTGAGTTTGGCTCTTTTTCTTATTTTTTTCCGTGCGTGATTTTCCTTTTTTATTTTTTTTATTTTTTTTAGTAAGGGTATATTTGTATTTTTTGGGTGCGGTAATAGTAATTTGAGTGCGGTGTTTAGTATTTCAGTTTTTATTCTTTTTCTGAAAATGACGTTGAGTATTACAAGTTGTGTACATTGTTCCATATGTGTTTCTTTCTTTCAGATTTTTGCCTTGCCCCTAAATCTCTTTGGATTTTCTTTTAATGGGCAGTACTAATTGTTATTGATATGATAAATAGACTCGATTCTACTTTTTAACATGTCCGTAAACCTATTCAAAATGTTCCCTTACTAAAATCGGGGATTTCTCAAAACCGACTAAAATTGCAGCCCCTCTACTTTACTGTATTCTCAATTTTCGCTCTAGTAATTGAAGTTATGTATAGCAAAGGAGATTGGTACACTAATGTTGGCCCTCAATTGCAAAGTTTGATTAAGAAACTCCTCATTGACTCAGTGCCACTTTGGGATCTTGTGTAATTTCCTTAAAGTATATGCAATTGAATTTGGGATTTAATAATGTGTGTAACATTAGTGAACAACTTTGATGAAAGGATTTCATTCGTATATCCAAATGGGGGCTCATTAATTTGTTATTACTTGCTTTTTTCTTTTTTCTTTTCATTTTTTGATGAATCAAATGATCAGAGCTCCCCTTGTTTATACTAGAGTTCATTAATATATATGTTGTCCATACATTTATTGGACGCAAAAGGTCGATTACAACGGGAGAAAATGAAAAAAAGAAAAAAAAAAGAAAAAGAAAAGTAGAGTACTTGAAAACTATAGAGCTTTTCGCTAGTTGATGTCCATTCGAATCCCATATCGCTTTCCGTACGAGACACAGTCAGTTGTCTGAAACCCGATTCTCTCGTTTTGTAGATCATAAACAACTTCGATGTTCTGTTGTTGAAAGCTTCCGAGCACGGCTGAAGCTTCTACCTCGTCGTCATCCATTTCCTGCATAATTAGACACACGGGCTGAGACCCGTTTTTCGGTGGAGCCACTTTGTAAAAGACATTCCCAGCGGGTAGGTTAAGGCTCACATTGTTCAAGAAATGGAAAGTGATCGAGGGAAAACCGCCGGGTTTTTTCGCATACTTGGTAGGGACATGGTAACATAGGTGAAACGGCGACTTAGCCTCCACGTCTGAAGCCCGACTGTATTTTACCATGGACTTTATCGCCTCTTGAAGTTGCGAATAAAGAGGATCGGGTAAATGAGTGTTGCTAGTTGAGGAGTCGATCATCATGGTGCCTTTACCCGACGGGCTAAACACTCTCAAGCTTTCGGGAGCTTGTATATTTACCTTGTTGCCCACGGTAACACTCTCGAGACCAACGTAGTAGAAATTCGGGTACGTGGGATTCTCGAGTATTGGGGTGAACTGCAAATGCTATTTCGAGGATGTCGCTAGGTCACCTAGAATTAGTGGGGTCGAAACATTAGGGTTGCTCGAGAATTCGAAAGATAAAAAGCAATAAGCGAACCCGTTTTCCAAAAACCCTAGCTGCGAAAGGAGTGAGAGCGGGCCTTTCCCGAACCCTACGATACCCAACGGCATTCTATATGAGGACCGAACACAACCGAAAGAAATATATTGCTTCGTATTGTGCTGATTGTTTGCGTTGAGTACGATGGTGTCATTAGCAAGAAACCCGGCCACGGACCCATCGACATAAGAGTACGAAAACGAAGGGCACGGTTTAGAGCACTTGACGTTGACAAAGTCCCTCAACACGCAACCGGCCGCGGTGCAGGTGTTGTAATAGTCGGAGGTATGAATATCGGCACAAAGAGGACTCGTGCAAGGCTCGCTTGATATCGATTTTGACGAGGAAGGATTGAAAAATGAAAAATTGTATTTTTTATTGTACGGGTCGGTGCAATCGATGCATTCGAAAGGGTTGGATAAATTCCCACAATGCACCCAGACGAGATCGCTACCCGTGCTAAGGAATAAGTTGTGGATGGTTTGAGAAGGCGAGCCTAAAGAGAGGGACATAATGTACCCATCTCGTATCTCTTTGAGTGGCACGATGCCATCAGGTGTTTTCTTGGACATGTAATCATAATAGTCGAGTTTTCGAGTAGGACGAATTTTCGACCTCGAGTGAGTTAAACTTAGGATTAATGAGTTTGAGCTACCATTGGCATGGAGCTCAACAAAGATTGAGGCTATATAAAGTAGAAAAAGGAAATGAAGAGTGGAAAAGGTTATGAAGGAAGACATGTTATTTTGACTCAATTTAGTAGTTAATGAGGCTTTGAGAAGTATGAAGATGGTGTATGAGGAAGTTCATGGATGGTGGTGATTTATAGACCAGCATTTTGCAGTTGAGAGAATGTTATAGAGTGTATAGATGTATAATAATAGTAAGTTTTTCTTTTAATGTAATTTGTACCAATTTTTTACTTCGTATGTGGTAACAAAAGTGTCAAACCCTTAATTGTTTGATCCTTCAAAGTTCAAAGGCAATATTCAACTGCCCTTAAAAAATGTCAAGCCATCAAATCACAAATTTTGATTTATAATGTCCAATATGAGTAAAAAATATAAAAGCTAAAATCTGTCAAATTGAATTATATGTCAAGTTAGATGATTCGTGACATAAGTTCTTTGGCGGCTACCAAATTTCAAAAACTTTCACNGTGCAATTACATAACAAATCTTATTATGACTGATGTTAGAGGAAAATTCATTTCTGTTAATAAAGTTGTTTTTTTTTTTTCACTAAATCCAAAATTTATTCGCTTTCACGCATTGTTTTATAATCGTTAGTATTTAACCATCGATCTACACCTAGTTATCTTTTGAAAAATTCCAAATTAGTAATTATTGCTACATATTTTCATAATAAGTTGCAATATCTTACTCGTTATGTATTTTGATATGTGAGTGGCTGAAAATGGTTTAAAAAAAGAAGGAAAAAATATATGGAAAATGAAGTCTAAAACATATAAAAATTACACTCTCTTCATCATGAAATTATCCCGTAAAATGGCCACACTTCAAACAACGACGACATATGAATAGTATATATTGGTATTTCATGATATATCACAAGTGTTCGAAGATAATATTAGTGTTTCAGAATTGTAAAGAGTTTAAAAAAAATAAAAGAATAACACACTAGAACTTTAAAATGTAATTAAGAGCACTTGGCTCTTTAGGTTTCGGTATTTTATGAATTTGAGGCATATAAAGTATTAAAAATTCTGTAGAGCCAAGAATTGATGCAACCTGAATAAGCAATTTTAATTGTAAAAATAGCCAAGAAAACAAATAGTTAGTGAATGTCGAAATGGAATGTTGTTCGGTTTTTATCCTTTATTTCTAAAGAGATTATTCTCCAGATCTTTCTTAATATCTCTCCATTTATGGTAAAAATTCAAAGGCTATTTATAGTGTAGTGCAATTAGTCACTATTCATCGGCATAATACAACATTGCAGATTTTTACTATTTGAAGTAAGCATACCAACATTAAATGCTAATAATTGGAATCTTCGTGCTGATGAGAGCATCTACAGATGACACGTGTGCTGACAGGCGAGAAGTTATACATCTTAACAGATGTTGTCGGTAGTTTTTTAAATAATGTTATTTGTACCATCTACTTTACCACTTTACCATATAATGTAACTTACAATTTTGTTCTCCACTTAAATTGGCAATAACTAAGGAGTGATTGTTTATAAAATATTTTGTTCAAAATGAATTATTTTGATTAATTTTGAAAAAGGTGGTATGATTAGTTGTTAGTGGAATTTTAAGAATGTATTATTATAATATTTAAAATAAAATAATTAAAATTGATTTGATGTAAAAGTAGGAGATAAATGATTGGAAATGATTGGTAGTTAAAACTATGTGAGTGGATGAATAGTTAATTGAAGTTGATGTGATGTGTAAGAATGATTGGTTTGTAGTATTTAATTATATGAATAATATTAAAGATAGTGGGGTTGAGTTAAAGTTGAGTTAAATTTTGAGTATGAAATAAATGAGAATGAAATAATTCATAAACAATCAAACCCTAATTGAACTAACTTTTGCCTTGCACTGAATTATATTTTGCCATATTGTTCATGTGTGATTTTACACCATATTTATTGAGTATCTAGAGCTTAGTCATTGCGTTATTGGTGTATAAATCGCATATTTGTGCTTTAATTCTCTATTTGTTGGAAAGGTATTACACGTGCTTGTTTTGTAGATATTTTCACGTATTTTTAGAGCTTGTGGCTATTGGAGGCGCATTGTGAGTACTTAGGACCCCCGATATGATGATGGATTGATGCACGGATGAGAAATATGGAAGAAACGAGTGAAACAGACAAAAAACGAGAGTGCTGGGATGTGACACGGGCAGTGACACGGGCACCATGCCCGTGTCAGGTGGCCGTGTCACATGAACAGGGGC